TCAGCTCCCTCCTGCAAGTCTGGCAATAAATAAGGAATTAAACCCTGTTCTGGGAGTCATTTCATTGAGCTGCAATTCATTTTGCATGGAGCAGCTATGCTGTCCCCCCACCGGGCTCCCTTCCGATGCAGCCATACACAGAATCGGCTTTCCCACGACCAACCCTGATGCTGCCCGACCACCAGCTGTTCCCGCCTTCCCCATTTTATTCCCCAGGAATACAGAGGAATTACAGGGCAGCATTTGTCAAACCACTCTCCCTAGGACCCCCAAACAACACAGCTTGGGTTAGCAACGCCACACTGCAAGGAGCTCTAGGTGTATTTGCACCATTTTGCTCACCTTGGGAGCACGTATTCTGGCACGTAGCAGGGGAGATGAAGACCTGCAGAAGGGGACAGGCAGGCACAGGATGGGGCACAGGGGCAGGAGCATGCTGGGCTCGCCAGAGACCCTGTACTTATCAGGTGTTCCCCCCATGGTGTATCTCAGGGGACATGCAAGAAGATACCTAAAGCTGCCACATTTTCCATCTCCAACCCCCCCAGCCTCTCTGCAGCCAGTGCTGGTGCCAAAGGCAGGCTGCAGCCCCGGCACCTGCAAATCTGCAACCGACCTGCAGTGCTCCCTCGGCACAAATCTCCAGGTGCACTTTCAGCTCTGAAACTCAAAGATTTCCCTAGCCTGCAACCTGCAAGGTGCAAAAAGTGAACCACCATCCGGACAGGAGATGTTGGCCCCAGACATGACACAAACAAGACACGTAACTGATGCCACCGTGACCCGCAAAGGACGGGCCTGACCTATCCACCCTTGAAATGATGATAAAGAAAACATGTCAAAGACATGTGTGGCACTTGATCTTTCACAAAGCCCAGTCTTTTGCTGTGAAGCTTGCTTCTTGTGTCTCAAGGCACTGAAAAAATAAAAAAAAAAAATCACAGCCCAGTCACACTTACTGCTGCAGGTGATTTAGTTTCTCTTGTGAGCACAGGCTCCTACATGGATCGGGCTGGAGAGATGGTGCTGCAGCCAAAACTTCCAGGTCTTCCTTCCGCCTCCAGCAGCACGGACACCTGGAAACACCCAAGCACAGGGTCGCTACAGATACCCTGTCTCTTCTGCACACCCACTCCATAGACCTGCTCCGGCTCCAGGACTAAATCATGCGGCTACACCATGTCTGCCCACGCTGCGGTTTATCACGGATACATCACTGGAAAAAACACCACTCAGAGCCCCTGCACAGGCACAGCTGGGGGAGGCGGTGTTATAAACACCATGAGGGGTTATCCATGCATCCATTCACATGCTGCAATACATCATTAAAGATCTGAAAACCTCATTTATTTGCAAGTGTGACATTCATAGCAATGTATTCCTGCCCAAATGGTTCAAGATATTCACTGCAGTATTCCTTTGTGCCAGTCAGGAGAGACTAAACCAGGATTTTTACTTAGCACTACTTCCCAAACTGAAGGCCTAGAAGTATTAATTGAGCAAGACAGAGAAATCAACCTCCTGGAGATCAAAAAGATGAGCAATTTCCCCAAAAGAGAAATTTCCTTCAAGATCTCTCAATCTGGGCCCATCCCTGAGCTGGAAACGCCATCACGCAGTGGGGAAAAGGAGACCTCCCGGGATGCAGAGCCCAGCAAGCACAGTTCAGACCATCCCAGTATTTCTTTTCACAGGATGCCGGTGCTCCAGGAATAGCACAGGCAAGTGAGGATTTGGAGGGGAAAAATACAGAGCACATATAAAAGCATCAGACTGTGCCCACGTCAGCTCTTCTCGCTGCTCGGAGGAGCCCTGCCACGCCAAACTCCATCCCCTCGTTCATAAAGAGAAGCAAGAAAAGTATTTAGCTATCCAGCTAAAGAGAATGATTTTCCTGAACGGATAAAAGGGTTGGCTTGCTGGAGATATTTTTAAATAAATACTGTCTCCTTAGTCTCTTCCTTTCTTCAGAGCAGAAACAGCGTTGCTCTGAGCTGCCCTAACATGCACGTAAACAAGCAAGGATTTCATTTCAGCTAAGTGAGAAGTAGAGCATATTTTTGTAGGAGTCCTACCAAGCCTTTGAATAGATCTGAGTGTTTCCCTTGCTGCTAGTGCACCTTTTTCATTTCATTTCATGCAAGTTTTCAGGCTGCTGTCTGCGACATGATACAGATGGTTTCTGGAGGTATAAAGGAAAGACCCACAAGGCTGGCAGATTTGCTGGAGGAACAAAGTATGACACAAGCTCAGCTGTACAGTTCTGGTTGCTCCCTGGACCTGTGGAAACAGCTCCAGAAGGACTTCCTTCAGCAAAAAGGGCAATTTTTTCAAAGTAGATTTTGGGATAATCATAAAAACCACCCATTTCCCCCATTCCCCTCCAAAACTGAAGAGGCGCTTCAGCTACCACTAAAGGAACACGACACAGAGCTAATTTGTAAATGACCATTTGTTTGGTCACGTTAATCGAGGCTGAGAGCAGCTTTCCTGCAGCCGTGACCCACTAGCTCCCACCGCCTTGGGCATTACTAGAACAACCACTACAACTAGCTAGATTAGCAAAGTGTCTCTCCATCCCCAAATTATTTTTACCATATATTAGAAAGACAACACGTAACTCCCCGTTTGCACTCTTAGAGCTCTTTGAGCACCACCTAAGCGTTGCCAAGACCTCAGAAGTCCCATGGGGATAAGGATTACCAGTACTCCCTTTTCTCCCAGAGCTAAGGCAACTTCCCAAGACGCGAGCTTGTCCTGAGATCATCCCTCTGTGCAGGCTGGGGGCTCACCCGGCATCGCAGCCATCCTCCCCACTGCCAGCAGCCTGGCCCTGCTGCGGCAGAGCTCCACCACTGCCAGCCCCGGGGACACCAGCTGGAGAGAGCCCATTTTTCCGCAAACCAGAGGACAGAGAGTTTGCTCCTACCGTTTCCCTGGGGCTGCTCAGCTCAGCCCCTGGTACACAGCAGGATCTGGTGGCACGCCAGCGCTTTGTCCCCAGCGCAGAGCAGTTCCCACATAGCGACCATCCCCTCCTGGCCAGTCCCTCCTCCCACGTTTGCAGAGCCCCCACTGCGCTCTCAGCCTCGCCAAGTCCCCATCTCCATTTTCACTCCCTTCCAGTGGGTGCTTAAATCTTCAGTACAAGGCAGCAGAGCCCAAGCACGCGCTCGAGCGCGCCAACCCGCGGGACGTATCACGGCACAGAGCTGAAGCAGAACCACAGGCCCTCAGAGGATGCTGAGCGCGCAGTTGGTGCAGGCAGACGCACAAATGCAGGCAGGGTTTACCATCTGGATGTGAGGGATGCAGAGCACGGGCCAGAGCAGTAACCTTTACAGGATATAATCCCTCTGCCTGCTTTAAAAATTAAAGCTGTCCTTAATAAAATACATTAGCTGTAATACTATTTCCCAATTTGCCAATATTTACAGGCAAGACGCGGGGCAGAGCCCAGGCTGGCGACTGCTTCTGGGCATCCCACCGAGGTGGCTGAAGACGAGCGAGGGGAGGTGGCAGGCTGGGGGCAGGGAGCAGAAGGCACCGGCAGCAAAACCCCATTAGAAAAACATTGGGAACCACCAAACTAGATTGCAGTAGACAGAACGGGAACACCTGTATACCAGTCGCTACCGACCATCCTCGTACACGTATCCCCTTGCACGAAAAATTAGGGGAAAAAGTCCCAAGCCCTCAGGATTAACCTAAAAAAAAAAAAGACAGTAAGATGATTATGTAGGAACCAAATTTAAGTGTCCTTTATTTAAGTACTATAAAATAAGAATCCAATCCCACTGGTTTCCCAGGGGCATATTCAGATCCCATAAAGCTCAAGGGAAAATATTGACATATATTTTGACGGATTGATGTCACTGGTTTTTACTCTCTGACTGCAAGAGTGAAATTCCTGATTATATTCACAGTCCGTACAGTCAACAGCCACTGAAATAGCTCCATTTGCCCTTTTAAGTGCAATCTCTCACCTGTTGTCTGTAGAGATGAAGCTTCTAATACCAAGTTTAGAAGCAATCTATGGATAAAATAGCAGCATCAGCACATGCATAAAAATTAAAAAATCTTAAAATAAAATTAAAAATTAAAGCCTTAAAACCCCCAAAAGATCAAGTTTTGATCTCATTTGTGTTCTGTAGCTTTCCTTAGTCTAGAAACCCTCCACCAACATCTTCCATCTTAAGGAGCTCTCCCAGTTTGGGTCATTTATCAGGAAGCTGAAGTTTAAAAGCATCAAGTACATAATTTTAAAGGAGCTAAGAGATGAGCGAGGGAAAGAAAATAAATCACCCTTAAATAAAATAAACCCAAAACCTGCCGCTTCTTTTCAGCTTTGAGAACAAGGTCTGTGTGCACAGGACCGGGTGCAGCTGATGGAGTGCAATGCCAGCTCTCTGGGAAGAGCACACTTGGTTAGCGGATGTCCTTGGTGCACTAAGCCATTCCGTGTAACAGCATATCCCAGTGCTCCAGATCTCTATGATGTTCAAAGGCTCATTACACATTACACGGAATATTGTGTAGTTGTTCTATTTTACAACGCTGCTCTGACTAAAGCCATCAAAGCTGGCAGGATTTACACTGTGCAAAACTGAGGGATAAGAGGAGAAGGAAAAAAAAAAGAGAAAGAAAGGCATAGAGAGTGAGTGAGAGATCTCATCCTCATTTAACCGATATCCATAGAAATTTTGCTGTCCACTCCAACAGGAGCAGGATGTGTCCTGGTATACAGAAGTGCTTTACCTGTGCATTAAATAAAACAGTTGCCCTCTGATATAAAACCTGGCTCCCATGTCATTGTTTTTCCCCAATGCTTGAAATAGAGAATGCAAAAAAGCAAGGTAAAAGTCTCCGGGGTGAATGACCCACGAGACAATGTTTGGTTTGCTGTGTTACAAATAAAATGACATTCATTGGCCAAGACACCCAACTACAAAGCCCACACGTGAAGCACAAGTGGAGAGCAAGGCACACAGGGAGGAGCGCATGGACACCTCGCACGAGGAATGCAGCAGGCCGAGCCAGCCCTCTGCCAGCTGCGCTGCCCGAGGACTCGCTCTTCTCCTTATTGCCGCTCTGTTCCTCCTTTCTGTTTTTCTGGGTTGGTCCATTTTAGGGTTTGTTTTTTTTTTTTGCTTTGCAGGCCCTGGACTTGGCGGTGAGGGCAGATGTGTGCTAGACAACACCACGATGGGTACAACAGCAGCAGCACGCGAGCAACCAGCCTGCGACAGCCAGGCAGCTTCAGGATGTAGCTTCGTCTTCACACACATCAGGCAGCTCCGGGTCCCTGCCTCCTTCTCTGCTCCCTTGTTTTCTACATGAATGGCAAGGAAATAAAGAGATTATAGGCGCATACCAATGCAAGAAATAAAGCAGGGGATGTTTTTTCCAACAGGCAACCCAGGTCAACAACATCAACATTAAGAGGGAACAGCAAAGAACCAGCCTGTTGTGCTGGTACCACATAAAAAGCTCAGCAATATCCCAGCTTGACACGCTGCAGTGCTATGCAACTTGTGCCTATACACTTGTTTGGTCTCTGCACCCTGAAAGACCAAGCTTTCCGCTTCCCTGAGTGCCCTTCTCCTGGCTGCAGCATCACAAGGAGGTATCTGGTTCTTGGAGAAAGTCTTGCAGACCAGCAGCAACGTTTCTGAATTATCTAGTTTATATTTGGGGAGTTCTGGTTTGCTTTTCTTTAATTTGATTTTTTTTTTTTTTAAATAAAGAACAGAGCAATGGCTTGATACCATAACTGCTTCTCCAAAGCTCTATTGTAAAAGGCAATGAAAACTGAATGCTTCTACCAGAACTCAGTCTTCCATACACAACAGCTGTTTAATTTCAGTTTCTGTGAGTTTGGTCCCCAAAATCGCTCAGCACATGAGAGCAGCAGTCCCTAAAACACAGCCAAGGTAACTTAGTTGAATTGTATGTACACCATGATAGCTTCAAGCCTGTTCTCCTGCTCTTAATTTTCAGTGTCTTCCTATGTTGAAGGCTTGAGCTGTGGTGGAATGGGACAGAGGCGGGACGGGACACCTTACCTCTGCCAGTGGGAAGGCAGGCTCAGAGCTGCTCAGGCATCACTCTGAAGCATGAGCGGAGACATTTAGGCTGATAGAGCATTTTGCTGGCTTGGGCTGGGGGGCTTTTATGGGCTCCAAGCTGAGCCAGCCGGTCTGGCAAAGCCTCAGCCATGAGGCCAACTACAGGCCCAGTAGCACTGCGGGATGCTGTGTGGTGGGGTACACGCTGCCACCGCTTCCCTGGGATGCAACAGTCACAGTGAGCAGTGGCTGCTGTCTCTGCCCTGCGAGCCCGTGGGCAGCCCAAGCCCTGCTGCCAGCTGGTATCACTCCAGCGCCGTCAGCGTGTCTGTGCCACTGGCTCTGCTGGGGCGAAGCCAGCTCCGGCACCCTGGGGCATCCTTGAGGAGTAACACCTCTACCCAGCCCAGCCATCCATAAGACAGCCCGAGACTAAGATCTGACCAGAGAAAGCTGTTAATGTTCTAGACTGAATGGAGAAAACGTGACACCTCCAGGTGCCACCCACATCACCCCACAGCAGAGACCTATGGCAGGCAGATGACTTGCACATAAAATGCCTGTTTCTCCATCACGAAGATGTGAAGATAGCCACAGTGTAAAGGAGGTGATGCTACCCCCAAGCATCTGTGTCTCCCTCATCCTCGCTCACACTAGCCTGGCTGCAGGAGAATCAGTCCATGTGGACAAGCCAACTCAGCAGTGGAGAGTCAAGTGCTGCTCCACATGCCTGGAGCAGCGTTTGGGAAGTGTGGGTTTGGGGCTCTGGAGTTATTGTCTGGCTGGGAATGACACTAAAAGTACACACAGGGCTCCGCCAATTTTCAAAGAAACCACAAATGATCAAAATCACGTTTCCTTCTCCTTCTGCTCCAGCAAAGCCCTGTGATAAACCTGACCTTGAACCTGGAGCATGGACCATTTCCCTGGGGGGGAGGCTGAGGAATAGCCCCATCTGTGGTGCCTGTCATCACCCTCTTTAAATGATTTATCACCCTGCACAGGAGCAGAGGCTCCTTTCTTCAGCATACCACAGGCAGCTCTGCACAGCACAGCTCCCTGCCTGGCACATCCTGCCAAGACTGCTCCATGCCCAGGGTGCGTTCAATGCTCTGCTGCTGCCCTGAGCAGCTTCTGCCTTTCCAAACACCTTGTGCCAGCGTGGGAGGGGTGCACCACAAAACAGGTTGACCTGACAGCCATGCATGGTGGTGAATACCAGCTAAACTCGGGTTGCACGTACAGCAGCTGAGATCAGGGCATCAGCGCTCTGCAGTCTGCATGGAAGCCGGCACTCATGCTGTGAGGCCTGAGGCTGAACGTGAATCTCCATTAAATGACTCTTTTTAAGAAATAAGGCTGTATTTCTGCTACATTTTTTAAACCCCAGGGGAGCAAAGCCTGACCTGTGCAATTATCCAAGAGACCACATCGCTGTTAACCACAGCAGCTGCAGGAAGATCACAGCCACTGAGTGTTTACACCATATTTCATGCCCAGCAAGGAATGGGCCTCACAGCACTTCCCTCCAAAATGGGGCAGGGATGGAGTGGGACAACCTACAAAGAGCTGAATCACAGCATATACACACACACACTGCTGGTAAGTGCTTAATTCCTCCACTGGGTCCCCATTTAATACCAATAATCTGCCCTTGTCTAGACTGGTAATGTCCCCTTCCTCTCTGCTGAGGCCATGGGCAAACTCTGGGGGCAAACTGGGCTGTGCAGTCACTCCTGAAGTAAGTCTTGAAAGAGAAAGGGCTGTTCCTCATGAGAAATTCTCTATGAAAAATGTAGCAGCAGGCAGCGGCACCAGCTGTCACCAGCAGTGCCATGTCAGTCCCCATCCTCCTCTGCCTGCCTTCTCCTAACTGTTTTTTGAGAATCTCTGCAAGTCCTTCCTCACTCAGAACAGGCAGCATCCTGGCTCGAGCTCATCCGTTTGTCTCCGAGCAGTAAACCAGGCCAGCCACAATGTCCAGAGCAGTGGAGCTGCTCCCAAAGGTATTTAGAGGCATGTGGTTATTTCCCAGCCTCTCACCCAAGACCAGATCTCCCCAGGCCTGTGTGGAGGCTGTGTCCTGCCTAAGCACTAGATCCTAAGACTTCACACTGAGATGTCTGTAAGCAGTTTGTCACGGTTTGTGTTGAATGTTATTTTTTTATTTAACAGAATTAATTGCACAGACCGCTTCCTAGAAGGGTCTGTGCAACTGGTCAGACAAATGACTGTGTTTTAATGAAGTCCTGGCTGAGGTGGGGTGGGTAGTCACACAGAGCGGACAATTTTGGTCAGCCCAGAGCCCTCCCAGCGCAGCATCGGAGGCAAAAGCACAGGGGAGTGGTAGAGCTGCTGGAGCAGTGATGGCTCTGGCTCTATTTCTTTTGCATAATTACTAAATATTAAACCTGAGCCCAAATTACAAACCTCAGCCTTTCCCAAATTCTGTAGCTATTCCCTCTGCGAATGTGGGGCTGAGCAGCAGTTACTGATAAAACCCAACTGGCTTTTTTTACCCCTCCTTCCCCAAAGAAGGCTGAAACACCAAAGAACCACAAATAATAATAATTAAAAAAAGCATACATAAACATTAGTGTCACACACACAGAATTACTGCAGTAAAATTGGTCCTACAGGAAGGAAGGATGGAGCCAAATGCTCTCACTACCACACAAATCACACAGGCTGAGGAGAGGACACATGTTTCTACAGCACCCGGGGGAAACGCACACACTGAATTACCTTAAAGACGGATGCAAATATACAGATGTGTTTAAAAGGAGTCTGTCCCTGAGAGCAAAACAATGAGACAAAGGAAGAAAGTGATCATGAAGATGATGGCAGCAGGCAAAGGAGCTTGTACTTCTGTGCCTAAAAAGCCTAGCGAGAACACTGAAATGGAGGACGGAGCATCAGTCACATTTACTTGCAGCTTGAAGGACAGATGAGGATGGGCACTGGTAGCACTGGTATTAACCCAGTCCAGCCCCTACCACTGCTGAAAGCTCCCAATTGCTTCCAGCGCACTGCTGATGTCCAGCTGTGCTTTCCTGGTCCATGTAATTTGGCACCTCTGGGGGTTTTGTGTCCTATCACGGTCATGGCAACACCACCATGTGCAACGGGGCGTGCAGCAGCCGAGCTCAATGCCGGCAGAGCCACACGAGCATGGGGCCATTCAGCGGAGGGTCCAGCTGATGATGGCAGGTCTTTGCCAGAGGAAAATCCTGTGCCACAGTGGGTGCCTCGGTCCTCAGATGGACTACAAGGATACCTACTTGCCCTGTGGGGCACCGCTCTTCCCATGAGACATGCAGTTCTCTCTTTGCAGTGAAAATTGATAGGGCTTTTGGTTGGATTTGACTCTGTTCTGATAGCATCTATGTGTTACCGACCTGAAATCTTCCTGGGACTGGAGAGACAGACACCAAGCACTAGCAGAGACGAAGGGAGCATCTTCAGTGGAAACATCTGGCAAATTTAACCCCAACCTGCAGCCATTCCCTTGTCAAAAATGACACTGTAAACCTGGCTGCCCTAGGGGGATCTCTGCAGCCTATTTTTGAGCAGCCCTACGGCACTGAGCCCTGGGACCTTCTCAGCATAAAGTCCCCACGAGGCAGGTACCTCTGGGCTGCTTTGGGAGAAGCTGTTTCTGCTTGGAGACCTGGGTCAGCCACTTTTTTACTTCTCTCTCACCCCTGGCTTCCTTGTGCCTAGCCTACGTGGACAGTATGGCCCTAAGGGGAGTGACTGCTCTTTTGCTCTCTTTTTGGAAAGGCTGGAAGCAGGGTAGGCTTTCTAAATACAGACTGATCCCCCGTACAGGAGCTGACAACCACATTTCATCAATAGTAATAGCAGCCATAATAGGAAAGTAAATTGGGTCTGTCAAAACACAGCAATTAATTTGATAAGTAGTAGTTGCAATACATGACAGTAATAAAATGTGGTGAAGCTAGTGCTGACTCAATTAGGAGAAATCTGGAGCAGGCAGAAGAAACGTAGCAAACACTGCTAACAGAAACCCAGAACTTAGCTGTGAATGCTAAACAGCTGGGTTTAAAAAAATAACTCTGCAACTGGAAAAATTAGAAATGATCAGTTGCTCCTGCAGCCACTGTTAATGACAGGCTTGAACTTGGCCATGGTCTGCAGGATCTGCAAGGCTCGATGAATCATTGCATATTCTGGGAGATCCAGTGCCAAAAAGCAGGATCCGGTGCTGCCTGGACACCCGGCCCTGGCTGCTGTGCAGCTGACAAGGTAAAGTGACAGCCGGCAGCACTCACACACGGCTTCTAGGCATGCAGAGGTGCTCTCATGGGAGAGGCAGCCATCGCAAAACAAGAATTGCTAAATGGGGGCATCTTCATTTTAGTTCCCTTCTATCTGGTGAATGAGCCTGCCATTTTAACAGCTGCCTTTTCAACTTTTCAGTGCGATTAAAGAAAGCAATAAATAACACTCAGGAGAGGATTTGCTTCTTCCAGGTTGAAGGAGCACTAAGAAAGCCCTCTCTCCTCCTAGTACTAATTTAAGAACTTATTTCAAATCACTGGTGTCTTAATGGTGTCCTCTAAAGGAACAAAGGCTGCGGCAAACATGAAAGACCTCCTGCTCTTGCAAAGACTTCTGCACATACAGCTTCTGCACGAAGTGTTTCCAAGAACAGAGCCCAGCACACTGTGTATAGGTAATGCAGGGAGAAATTAAAAAAAGATTCAATCACATGATTTAGTTTCCTCCTCTCCAAATCCCAAAGAGTGAGCTTAAAGGACAGATCCATTTTAAGAACCATCAATTAGGCATCAAATACCAGAAAGCAGACTCAGCTGTCAGAGGATTTCCTGCAAAATATATTTTCAGTATGGGCACAGATGTAAGAAGCTTGAAGCAGCAGTGAGTGGGGCTCTGGCAATTTCACATGCAGCCTAATTAAATATATTGAATGTGAAACTGGAGTTTTCTAATTGCTTTTCTTTTTTCTTATACAGAAACACAACAAGTTATTTTCTATCTATAACTAGGAGATGCAATATTACAAAAGCTGATTTCTCTCTCTCTAAAGACACTGCCACTGGGGAGGAGAAACTCTGTGGTGGAGAGCTTGGAAACTTGCGGCTTGTTTTTCTCTCAGCTCCTTGTGGGCAACCAGACGGCAGCGTAGCCAGAGAGCAGCAATGGCTGCAGGTGCTGCCCCTTCTGGCAAGTCCCACTTTTGGGGTCCCCTGTCCAGCTATGGGGGTGGAAATGGTGCCTGACATGCAGGAACTCTGCCGAGCCTTTATGCTATGACGGTATTATCTGTTCCTGCTAGGTCCCAGAAATTTATAGTAACCCATACTCACTCAAAACTTATTTTAACTAACACAGTGCTATCCATAACATTTGTGCTGATGTTATATTTTATATGTATATTAAGGGTGGTTTTACTAGAGAACAACCCACTATGAATTAAGAACTGGATGGGCTTAGCATCTAGCTCTGTTTGCCCCTGTGGAAACAACACTGTGATCAAGAGATTAACTCACTGAACAATGAACATTCCCATTTAGACTCGGTTCACTTAAAAATCAATGTCATTATATTCAACAAATCTATGTAAATTTAAAGCAATTTTCATGAGAGTCAACAATGCTATACTGCATTTTTCAAAGTTTGAAATAATAATCCACATGCCTTAAAAAAGCATCCCTGCTGTAGTGTTTATTATATGACGCTACTGTTGAAGAGAACTAGCCAATGTCTGTCTTTTAAACAGAAGGGTTTCGAGATGGGTTCTCAAAGCTCCAGCTGCGCATGAATTTAGCATAAAGTCAATTGTTACTGCCAAAAATTGGCACTGGTGGCATGAGATTGAAAAATTAAGTGCAGAAGTTAGTGCAGTGGAGAACTGGCATATTCAAAGACCATTCACATTCTTTTTGGGCATCTCTAAGTGCTTACATTGCTGGATAGAGGCCAGCCCAGCATAGCTGCAGCTCCATCCCTGACCTGACATGTTCTTGCAAACCAAGGGCACACTGGACACAGCAGCACAACAGTGGAAATTATCCACAGTTTTCAAAAACCTTTTAGGATGTCCTATACAAGGGGTCTGAATGCAATCATGGGGCTGAAATGAGTAGAGACAGGGAAAGATGCTGGTTTTGTACAAGCTGAGAAGAATTTGACTAGCAACTTTAGAAAGGAGACAAATAAAAGTAAAAATGGAGGCTTACAGCTCATCTTGAAGGCCTAAAAAGATTTAAAAAAGGGATTAGGCATTGATAATGTGGCTAATCAGAAACTTCACAGCTGCATCAGATCAAATGAACTTTACTTATTCTGAGCAGATAATAAAGCATGCGGCTCCAGGCAGGAACCAGCCACAGTGTCAGGGATGAGAAGCTTTCTCACCACTTGGTTAGTTAGTGGCATGGGCTTTCAAGCATCTCAAATGAAGGTGGAAGGACACAGGCCCCTTTTGGCAACAGGCTCAAGGTACTAGAACAGCAGACCACCTTGAAATATCAATTTAGGCAGAGCTTGAAAAGAAGAAATCCTGCCTTGCTCTGAATTAGTTGTCCCTGGACAGCGAGAAGCATACAATACATTTTTCTTCAAATCTAGTAGAAGTTCTCCCATCTCAGAGCAATGCAATGCAGTGACCAGGAATGATAGTGAAGATATGGGCAGGGACATATGTCAAATTAGCAATAACTAACTGGGAAGGCAATGAGCCAAGGGAAACAAACGAGGACAAATCCCTTATGCTAAGCTGGCAAAGGAGCCGTGACTGCCATGCTCTTCAGATATGTCCCCACAGCAGCACTCAGTCTATGGGGTGTTTAACTGTTAAACTGTTGTCTAATATTAACTGGTCCTGGACTCAAAGGCGAAGCATTTACTGAAGTCTCTGATACACAGCTGGGCCCTAGAGCATCATCATCCTTAATTGAGCTGAGCCCTTAAATCCCCACATACCTGAGACAGACACTCCTCTATTTGTATCGTCAAAGGTGCAGTGAGACTCTTAGCACACCCTCGTGGGAGTCTGCTAGGCATAGTACTGGGATTTGGGGTGGAAAAGGATCATTCTGGGACAACAGTTTTGTTGTGAACTGCAGCCTTACAGATTCTGCAGGGTGAGAACATGAAAATAATTGTCTCAGGTCAGGCTAATGGTCCATCTCTTACTTACTGGACTGATGGCCCACAAGCCTGGCTCTGAAAGGGATCAATAACCAACATGAGGGAGAAAGAGTAAGAGCCAAGTAAAGAACAGATAAATCCTTCCCACCCCCGGCTCCCCAAATATCCAAGACCATTGTGTTTAAAAAAATTTTGATAAATCTAGTAGTAATTAATTTGTCTACTGCCTTTTTAATCCCAATTTAGCCATTTATCTCCAGCCTCCAAAACATTCCATTGCAATATGTTCCACCATTTCACAAGTGGGTGTGTGAAAAAATACTGTATGCTTTCTCAAATGAAAGAGCAACATCAAAGTGTTCTCCACTGTCTGCCCATGCATCTCCATGGTGTGTCTGCCCAGACTTGGGCCCCAGACCACAGACAAACCACATTGTCTCATTTCCAGCTTATAAACCATGCAAATTGCTCATCTGGTGCCTTTTCTGTTGTCCCTAAGGAGACAAGAATTAAACCCTCCAATACATATCTAGGCTAGACTCTAATTAAATTTATTTTAGTTCACCAATCTCTAATGGATCTTTGATCATGGTGTATTATAAACTAACAGGTTAAAAACCAGACCCAAGTTTAGCACCTTACATGTGTTTAGGCCAAACTCATCTTACAGAGAGAACTGCATCTATAAAAAGAGTACTTAGACTGCTTTATTGCATTGTATTTTAACCCTAGAAGACTTGAGGTAGATTAGTATTTGATTTAGAAGGGAGTTTTGTCCTTAAATGCTACGGAAAAGATTTGCGAACTGCTTCCTTCATCCTCCCCCCACACCTTTACTCTGCATCTGCAGCAGAGACAGGCAAGGCTGTATATACATACATCAGTAAGTTCCCTGGAGCAGACATGGACCTCTCCTCCCGCCTGGTCTGAACCTCGAATGGATTTCCAAAGGAGCGCTTTCTTAGCATGGCCTTCACTAGGATCTTTGAGGAAGGAAAACAGACCAGTGAGAACAGCAGGACGGACATATCACCCCCTTGAAGCTAGTTCAAAGGAGTCTAACAACAGCTTATTTAATAATTCAACAGATATTTAACAGAATTACAGCTAGAGCACAAACTAGAGAAACCCACAGAACAGCTGTGTGAGTTCCAGGCAGTGTCAAGGCTACTCCCTTGGGCAGTGAACTCAGACCCCTGGACGCAGACCATTCCTGGCAAGAGGCGAAGCGGACGCTGCTGACCGCTGCCTGCCGCTTGTGGTGGTGCAAGGCCATGAAAAAGAGGTACCAGAGCTCTCTCCTGGGCAATCCTCCCAGGCAGGCACTGTGCAGAGTGCTGACAACTTCTGTGGGTTCAAATGCAAAGGTCCTGCTGTCAAGGGGAAGGTCTGGTTTTCACTCCCCCAGCTGGCTTTCGGGGCAAGCGTCTATCATCACACCACAAGAGCTTTGAAAATAGGTCCTCGTTGTGGTCAGCACCCTCTCCCCAGTACAAGGAACCCCCAAGGGCACCTGCATCATCGTAATCACTTAGAGCAGACCTCCAGCTGGCTACACACAAACTGCTGAGAAAGCCCTGAACACCCACTTGCGGTCCCCTACGGCTGGCAGGCAAGCGCCAACTATACAATCCACTGGCAGATGTCCTCTCCCTGCTTCTCTCACCAGGCCACCTCCAGGTTTGGAGCCTTCATTTTGATGATCCAAATGAGGTGTCTTGCAACCTCTAGATTAATGAAACAAAACACACTTGGGATGCTTCTGGTGTTCTGGGATGTCTGATGACAGACACTTTGAGGGTGTGACCCTACAGCTCTTATGAGAGCAGCCAGATATAAACAGGACTGCTCACATGGTCAGGCCCTGCAGAGTCAGGCTGCTGCAGTACTCAGAGACACAGAAAGTTCACGCTGGGTTGAAAGACCAAGTTTCTAATGCGAGGAGCACACGTGTATCCTCTCCAAACCTCCTTCACCAGCTGAGAGCTTCAGCAAAGTATCATGCTCTTGACCCATGTAGAGGATGTGGTTGTGGTTTATACGTACCACAGCTGGCAAACTTGGGATTGTCTTCACAGAGTTCTTCACCTCCTCCTCTGTCACCTCCACCACGGTACAGTGCTCTTCCTCCAGCGGCAGGGGCTCCTCGCCACCCTTGGTTAGCCACGGATGCACCTGCATGGGGAGGAACACAGAGACAGCTGTAGGTCTCCCTTCTGCAGCAGAGCACAATGATGTTGGTGACAAGATGGAAACAGGGGCACGGGACTGATTACGGGGTAAGCTGCCTGTTGGTACTGCTCCATTTTCCACTTACACAGATGCAGCTCAACAAGCTCCCTTGGAAATCGCTGCAATCTGGTGCCTGGCCAGATGGCATCCCTTAATGCCAAGTGCTGTCACACCCATTGCCACTGACTGGCATCTTGGAGGAACCTGGCACCCTCTGAATCAAGTTTGAAACGCTTTGAAAATCTGAGTTATCCAGAGCCTTTAATCTTTTTCTCTCATATGCACACATTTCATCTAGGGTTACACATGCTTGCTACCTGGGATAATCAAGATCATTTACGCATCTGCACAAACAAGGGTTTAGGTGCTTAAAAGGGAGTACTTGGGCCTGAGTACTGAGGACTCGTGCTACTGCAATGGCCTCCTGCCTACATAAATAGCAAAATAACACATTTTGCCACCTGGACACCATGTAAACCTCTACACAGCCACACAAATAAGGAAGGAGGTAGTTTCCCACCATCCCTCCCTGATGCTGCCATGCTGCTGTGGAAGGGAGCTGACAGCAGGACAGGGGCAAGGCTCTCTGCTACATACATCCAGGACTGGATGGGAGAGCATCCTCCAGTGTTGGTGCTAGAAAGGCCTGCCTCACCCTCCAGGGCAAGGAGTTTAATTAAGATGGATGCTTACTGCCTACTGCCATTCCAATGAGTTGGATGCAGGTGTGCAGAATGTTCTCCAAGGGCTTAGCAATGAGCTTCTTTACGGCACTTAATTAAGTTACATTCCAAAGATCATTAATTGTGCTTATAATCACCACATCCAGCCTTAAGTGAAACTAGGGCACTAAACCCTACAGTCTACCTGGGGCTTGTGAACATTTCAACTAGGGAGAGGACTGCCTAGCCCTATGTTCAATGTTCCTCATACAAAATGATTTGCTTGATTTATTTTCATAGTGAACAGCAATTCCAAACCCACCTGGCAGAGCAGTTAAGATATTTGTCCAGCCTAACCCCCTTTATATAATTTTACTGCCTCCTTCCAGCTTTTGCCATGTTTATTTTCAATGCTGACATCAAAGATTTATTAACTATAAATGATCACATACAAGAAGCAGCATGGAGCTAATGCTCACCAGCACAAGAACATTTGCAGCCATGTCAGGATTTTATCTTACAAGTAAGGAACATGAAAAAGGAAGAGGAGGGGAGTGTGAAAACAGGGGGAAACAAAATGGAAGGAACCCAGAGAGGAGAAGGAGGCCCGGAATAGCACTTAGAAATGTCTGACTATGCAAGAAGCCAAGGCTGGAGCCCCGATGCTATGCGGCCAGCTGTATGCTACTTCAGAGCAAAGAAGCTCCTTTAGATTAGTCTGTCAATGCAAATACAGAGGAAGTGTGTCATCTCCTTGTCTGGATTGCATCAGCTGCACGCATCAGGCTCTTCTGTACTCTCTGGTATGGACTCCTCTGGCCTGAGGGCCTTCACAGTGATGGTGGCAGTCACTCCACAGCCACCTCTGCCAAGAAGCTGCTTAGCCATCATCTTTCCTGGGGGAACAACAGAAGAAAGCTGCCCTTTCTCTATTGCCTCTCATGGGATGGTTTCCTTGGTTGAGAATATGAGAAAAGCAGTGCTCAAGGCCCTGGGCTGCACCCAGAGCCCAGCCTGGCGCAAGAGACACATGGTCTTTCAGCTTCAAACACAAGTCTTCAAGCACATCAAGCATCTTCAGTGCATGGCCAGGGATAAGAAGATCAAGCACCCCGCTCTGCTCTTCTCCCCAGGGTTCTTACAGGGCTCAGGTTTCCACATGAAGTGCCTGCAAGAGCTGCCAAGTGAAATCACTTAACACAGGTCCAAAGCACTTCCCACCATCACCAGCTGTGACCTCCTGGGCATGGAGGGAAGCAATGTCACATTTCTTCTCAAAGTTCAACCTTCCTACTGTCAGATTTGGCTAGTGTTGGCCTGAGACAAAGCGAAGAAGAGTTGTGTGCCCCACAGAGGGTGCTGATGGGTCTTTCTGGAAATCTTGAGAGCCTCCAGCAGGTCCAAGGCCTCGGTAGAGGAGGTAATGAGGAGAGAAAGCCCATGCAAAAACAGAACGAAGCCAAGCCTTGTGAAGCATTATGCTCTACCAGTCCTAGTCCCTGTGTTAATGAGCATCCCCCAAGTAAAGCTGATAGAAACCAATGTGCTGCCTTGAGGCCATTGACCACACAAGCACCAGAGGAACGCACTTCCAGCCCCAGTAACAGGTCCAATACTGACAGCGCAGGCTCTGCAGCTAGCAGTCCCCATGGGAATGTCAATTCTCCCAGGGGTTTGCCGAGTATCAGCCAGCTTTTGAGTAATTTTAATTTAAATAAGTAAACAAGAAAGCTTTTGTCAATATTCCCCAACAGGCACCAGCAACAGAGCTGTTACCTGTTGCAAAATGAGCACTCTCCCCTTCTGAGGTGGTGTGCCAGAGAAAGCTCCCAAAACAAACACCAGGAACGGCTCTGCCTCATTAGAAGGTACCAAACAATAAAATCAGCTGAGACAAAAGACTATGATATCAATATCCAATTTACCTTAATTTCAGGGACTGTTATCCTTGTTTCTGGATTTTTATCGAGCATGCGTAGGATCAGTTCCTTGAGCTCTTCACTTATCTGTGTTCTAAGTAAAGAAAATAGCAGTATACAGTTAACAAGGGAATTGTAAGTGCTCAAGGAATGCATAGTCCTTACTGCGGTTACTCCGTAGAGAATCTGCTCCTCTCAGAAGGTATTTTCTCTGCAAACCCGGCTTGAGAAAGGAAGGTCTAGTTGGCTTGGTTCCTTCTCAGGCATCACAATCACTGCTACAGGGTTTGGTCACCCTGTTCTGCCCACTAACACAGCTGCACACTCTCAAAATGCAGCACAATGGATCAGGTGAATAGATCTAAGGACATTTTTAAAGACAACACATTATAGAAGAATTTCAGAGGACAGATTCTGGAAAAACAAAAAGTTATTGAGAGCAGAACTGGAGCTGGGCTCTGTGAGACAAGAAGGGCACAACCTGATTTGCCAAGCCTGCATCATGAGCAACCATGTACTGGACAAAACATTCCCATTCAACATTCAAGTTCCCAGCTAAGCTTGCAGGTTGTGTTAATTGAACTGCTTCCATGAACGCTGATGGCAGCCAGTTTGGTAACTCGGTATTTCCTACCTGCATAGATCAGCCTTGGGGTAACAAAATGAGGGAATGAACAGACATGACTAAAAGAGAAATGCATCTGCCTGAACCCAGAAGGCATCCTATTCACATGGAGCCCTTGGTTCTGCAGTCTGTCTCTCTAGACCAAAGGCTTCAATGACTTCTGTTGCTAATGATGCAGGCAACATCTTTAAAACACACTTGACCTACATGATCAAAGTGCTACTGAAATAAAATGCCAATGTATGACAGAATTGTATTAGGCAGCTGAAAGTCTGTATCACAAATGACTTTCGAGGAGCTGCATTTCTGCATGAAGATGGGATTTGGCAGCATAAAATGTCACTCCCCTGCAGGGCTGGATTTCAGATTGAAAACACTGATGAGGACAAGGTGCTGTGCCCAACTCCTCTGCGCCCTCCCCAAGCAGAGGAGGGAATAAACTATCACAAACCTAAGTGAAGACCATATCACAGTAAGGGATATTTTAGTCTGATGAAAACAGAGCTGCTGTTTAATAATTTATGAATACTTTATGTGGACTTTGGTTATGGGATCTTTAACAAACAACCACAAGGAAACACTGCTCATTCAGTGGGAGGGGGCAGGAAAGGGGGTTCAGTTTAAAAAGTCAGAACACTTTCGGAGTTGCATCAAGGGTCTGCAGTACACAGGCAACATGGCCCAGACAAGGGGAATGTCAGGATGAGTCCTCAGGGACTTCCCACTGCCCAGGCTGCACTGCAGGTAACAATTTAGGTGGGAGTGGGAAGAACTGTGCTGCTCTTGAGATGAGCTCCAGGCACAGAGGACCAGCTATGGGGAGTGACAGTGCATTTAGCAGGTCAGAATAAAGAGACTCCTAAGGGGGGACCACTCTGAGATGCAGGTGAGATGGTGTTTTTAAAATACTTAATATCAGATCTGTGCCAAACTGGCAGCGGCTTTATTTAAAATACAAGAAATAGAATATATAATCACCTAACGTTTCTGGGCACCAGGTTGATTTCTACACAACATAGGATTAATGTCATAAGGAAAAGCTCTGTAAACAGGATCACAAAGTTTCAGGTGGGTCATAGCCAGGTAACAGACCGCATCACCCTGTCTCTGTTTTTCCTTCTGTCCGTTCTGCCATGGTACATGCTGTGTCTGATGGCATTTTTCATCTGAAAAGCCTGTGCTATCTGGAATTTCTCACAGTCATAGTCCTGTAACAGCTCTTGGGAAAATGCCAAGCATCACAGAGCTCAGCACCCATTTGGGAGGGCTGCCAGCACCATAGATCAATTTCGAGGGTGCCCGCAGGTCAGAGAACATTGTCCTGGACTTCAGCTCTTCACCAGGAGGGACTATGCAGAGCTCCTTGCTCTCAATACATTTACGGACAGAAACTTCTCCAGCTTGCTTTTAGTCATGCCAGGATCATCAGGGTGTAAGCTAACCCCATTTACCTCGTGTCATGCCAAGCACTCACTGACATGAATAAGAACTCCAGAATGATAAATATTTATCCCAGCGTCTCTAAGGGAAGGGAAGGGACAGTGATGCTGGTACAGTCAGCTCCACCTCTGTCCTAAAGGTCATCAGGAAACAGGCAATGAGTTTCCATGGACTGTCTACAAACAGGAATGTGTCTTTTGTAGCCATGGTGAAATAAATTGAAACCAAAATATTCCTAACTGTAGCGAGGTGCTAATTCTGTGGGAGGTCAGGGTGGATCCAGTCCAGTGAATTCCAGCTTTATGTATGTCTCAGTTACTGCCTTTATCCAACAAATAGATGTAGTTTAGACAGCTGTCAACACCCAGTAACTCTCTGCTCCTCCAACAACCTAACAAGGGGTGCAGCTTTTTTTAGACTGGGAGAGCAGGTCACTAAGAAAGCCAAATAAATCATGCAGCTGAATTATTGTTGAAGGAAGTGTCTGAATGAAGAAAAGGTTCTTAGCACAACCCAGTTAGCCCATTAAATGTTAATAACTTACTGCAGAGACAGATGGGAACAGTCACTTGTAAGCTGACTGCTAACCCAAATATATGATGGCTGAGAGAGGATGGGCATTTTGCCAGGACCCAAGCAAGCAGAGAGACCATGCCAGGGAAACAAACTACTTTTTTTTTTTTTTTTTGCAGTGCTGTCAAGACAAAGCTCTGCCCCGACCACAGAGCAACTGCTGGGAACACGGCAATGTGGCATGACCAGCCTTTGTGCTCTTAATGCCTGAAGCCTGGTTAACTGTAAAACCTCACCAACAGCACAGGGCTGGCTTGCCAGAGTTGCTCCATACCCACAACGGGGGCCCATGTTTGCCATCAAACAAGTGGCCTGACCTTGCGACCGCAGGTCCTTGGGAGGTGTGCTCCACACAGTCCTCGGTGTGGCCTCCACCAGCCTGAGCAGAGATGGCTCGCTCTGAGTTATCTGCGGTGGCTGTGCTTCAAGGTCAATGGAGAGGCAATTAATACAGCCCATGGAACCTGGGGCATGAGTCATCCCATCTAAAGCAGATGTCTGAAATAGAACAGCCCAAGTACCCATTGCTTTCTGCAGACTCAGAAGGAAGCCTGGGACTGCCAAGGCAGAGGTCTGGCCCTTCGCTGTAGGTGTCTAAAAATTCAGTGAGCATCTCACAAATAATTCATGTAATAGATGGTGGATACATGCACATATTGGAGGCTGACAACATCCCTCCCTTCCTCTCTAATACCAGATGTACTTTTCATTAGAGTTTAATTTCTTCATGTGTGTTTTAAATCAAGTAATTTATTTTAATTTTTTATTAGAATGAACGATTGGGTCAAGAAGGTCAAAAATTCTTTGCCTGACTACTGTGCTGATTTGGGAAGGCAGATAAGGAGTCCAGCTTTGGCTACTTCATCTGACAGCAACCAGGAAAAACAAATTAATCACCAACAGAAAGTCACCAGTGGCCTGGAGATGGAGGAAATACCGAGGAGTGGCCAATACATGAAGGGAAAGGCATGGTGGCTTGGTGGCAGACTGAGCACACATCAAGTGTGATCATCTCCAGCCAGGCTCATCTGACAAGACCACAGACACTCACCGCTCGGTGCCTCAATGCTGAACTTCCCACTGCTCAAATGGCAGGCAAGTGGCCTTGGCTTGTCCCCCATCACCACTGAGTGCACTGCTGTGGGTTAGAGGATGCACCGTGACTGTGCAGCCGGCCGTCCCACCTAACACAACCCAGTAGTCTCCACCACGCAGCTCCGATGGTGCCCAACATAGGTTTTCTTCACTGGCCAAAGTGGGGAGGGGGGGCAGCCTCTCAATATCAAATGGGTAAATTAATTTCTGGGTTTTTTTCAAAACTAGCCCCAGTCTGCCAGCACACAAGACAAACCCATATTTTCCTGGAGTGTGTTGGAGGAGACCGAGGAGTGGGGATGCACCAAGCTGTGATTGTACATCTCAGGACAAGCCACCTTCCATCAGACACTTCCCCCAGCTCCAAGGTAAGTCCACAGAAGTAGCATGTGCTTACTTAGACTGAGACCGAGGTCTATAAACCACACTGCTTTTGAAAACTAATACATTGAATCATTCCGGTGGCTACCACACAGGAGAAACACAAAACCCCAACCAAACTATGCTTCCAGCATCTCCAGGGTCAAGTAGCTGGTCAATAGAACTCCCTAGACCCATACTGAAACCCCTCCCCTTCCAAAGATTTCAAGAGCTATTTCCTTTAGTCCTTATCTGTACAATGTGGACACAGGCACAGCAGAGGCAGCTGTAATGCCTCGACAACAACATCAGCCCAAAACCCACATGAAGGACCCAGGAGAACGCAAAGCACCTCACCCACCCTTGTCTGTCCCTCCATAGTGACTTACTGGCATTTATGCTGCACAGTGAATAACCCTGAAGACTAAACTTTATTTTACAGTAGCTGACTAAAGTTTACTTACTCTTCTGAGAACTCTACAGGTTTGTTCTTGATCCTGTTATGAAGACCCAGAATATATTCATCTATAAAAGGGCACTGTAAAACAAACAAATGATTTTCCAGTTGTCAGAGATCTTGGCACTGCTTAGGTGTTTGTCATTCACATAACAGAAGTATAATCTCTGTGCACTCTTGATTTTACACGGAGATGGAAATAAATAAGATCTTCCCACACACAATAAATTGATTTATTCCTTATTAAATAATAAATGCAGAAGAACAGCAGAAGGACCTAAGGAATACAGAACTGGACTGGGATACCCCATTCCATCCAGCCTACCAGGTGACCATGAACTACTCATTTTCCTTTTCTCTGCTCCACGTTTTCTACCTGCAAAATGGATATACTGATATCGCCTGGCTTGTATCACTGCTTTGAGGTCACTCTGTGACAAGCATCATTTGGAGCTAGGTATTACTATTAAAGGACCTGGTTTTCCACTGTAAACTCAGATATATGGATTCAAAGCATATTTTTCTCCAGCACAACTTTTTACACTAGATTAATTTAGACCTAGATTCTGGCTCTTCCTACTTAGCAGGGCAGGCAGGACTGACAGGAGGTTAACCAAGCCACAGTGAATACTGTGGGAGATGCAGGAGCAGCATATTCACAGGCCCTGTGAACATCTGCATCAAAACTGAAGGAGCAGGTACACTTGTTTTAGTAGGCTGTGGGCTGCTAGTGGGCCCTGTCCCAGCCTACCTGGCCAGATTAAATTATGAAACAAATAGGTACAAGATGTACAATATTTACTGTACAGGGTCACATGGAACAGACAAATGTCTGTATTTGTCTTTATATTCCCTCTTTCTTTCCCCCAGTGCTTGCCACATAGGAAAGTAGTATCACTGTAAGATTATACCAGAATATAAAATCAAGCTTATACTCCATCACTTGACGATTTGTCCCCAAATGAGACATCATTACAGACACAGGTCAGAGAATATTTTCCATCCTGACTTAACTCTGCAATACCACACCAGCAATGGAGATAGTTCTGCCTCTGCCATCTTCCCCAGCCACTTCTTACCCCTGAGCTGGATACCTTATGCCTGTGTGGTGGGATCTGCAGTGGTCCATGCTTGGACAGGAGGTTCAGGTAACATACCTGCACACACAGACTGCATGTACCTGCTGTACTGCTCACCCTGGGAGAGCATGGGTGGGACGAGGGACTTCTGGCCACAGGAGAGGGAAAAGCCATGACAGGATATGGAGTTTGCAGAAGGCAGCTCTGAAGAGCTGGCTCTGCCAAAGTGGACTCCATCTGGCCCAGCTCAGCTCTGGCAGACAGAGCTTTCTGTAATCTGGATTGCTAAAGTGCTGCAGTAGCTTGCGATCAAACCTATGCCTCTCTCCATGCTCTATCTGGCTTGTTTCTAAATACAAGCAATATGGATAACCCCCCGACAAACCGTTGCTGGTGCTACTGATGCTGCTCTCGGTTTGTAGCAGGAACAACTGCTCTGAGTACAGGGCCCAACTCGAGAAACCATCCTTTCCACAGATCACAACATCAGTCCCTTCTCATCCACAGGGTGATTTAGGAAAATGGGAGCTTGCAGAATGTAGGTCTTTGTTTCTAATATTTGCCTTTATTTGGAAAGGAATGAGTCAAAAGCCAGGCAGGCAAACACTCCCATGCAGGGCTCCAGCATCTGAAAGCCAGCTTACCTTCCCGTAAACAAAGCAGTACAGGGTAATTCCCATGGCCCACACATCAAGTGCCTGAAAGAAAGCATGTACAGGCAGTAAATGAGATGCAACACAGAGATGGTCTGAATGAGCTGGATTTTCCCACTGACTCACAGAACATTATTTGTATGCATTTAATATTTTCTATTTTATTGTGCAGAGTCTCTCTGAAGTTGGGCTCCTAAAGGCATCTGTAGCATGCCTGGGGAAAGAGACTGTGCTAGGCCAGACACTGCCACCCTTGTCCTTGCTGTGGAGCGCAGCCCCTTTTTACAGGGGATGACACCATTCAAGGCTGAACATCAAAAAGGAGCTGAACCTCAAAAGTCTTCTTCCAGGAAAAAAAAAAACCACTAGACCCTATCCCCACACCTGCATCACAGCACTTGGCAGTACCCCTCGCTTTCAGGGGATCAAGACATGACCTTGGTGCCCAGCAGCCCCCTGTCTCTCTTGATTATTTTGGAAGGGAATCAAGAGTTTCCTCCTTTCCCTTTGGGAGGGGAAAGGGCTCTAACATGGCTCCTGTCTGGGCAGGGGTCCACAGCAAAGTCTGTCTGCCTGCTGCACAGAACAACCAATACAAGTTTTGCCTGGACTGAACATAGAATTAGAGCTTTGGTTTTATTCAATAACCGCCCCAGTCCCTGGGTGGGCAACACTCAAAGGATGCGGGTGTCATGCTGCTCTTTGTGCCATGCCTGGGGGCCCCAGGAGACATCAGCTGTGAGCAAAGACCTACCTTTCCACTGAAACTTTTGCCAGTGTCTGAAATGGCCTCTGGTGCCATGAAGGCTGGTGTCCCTGCCGTACTGGAAAGCTGGGCATCATTCCCTTCAAATTGATTGCTGACGCCAAAATCAGCAATTTTGACATGCCCATCATCTCCTAAGAGTAAGTTGGAAGGCTTGATGTCCCGGTGAATGATCTTCTGGTAGTGCACTAAAAAAAAAAAAAAAGACAAAAAACCAAAAAAACCAAAAAGCCAAACAAAACCAGGAGCATGGTCTGTCACAGCAGCAAACAGACCCAGGGCAAACCTTTCCAGGAGGATGAAAATAAAAGGTGCACGCTCAGGCACATCACTCAAAGCTGCTGCTGGATATGCAGTATAATGTAGCTGAAGTGCCATTTCCTATAGCCATTCCTTTTTGGTACCTCACTGGACGTACTCCAGAGTACAACACTCAAATACATCTGTCACCAGTAATTATGCAAAGAACAGGCACGAACCCAGAAACAGTCCAACCAGCGGGACCAAGTAGAGCTGCTAGAGAAGGTAAACACTCAAGTCTTGCAAATTTGCTTGACCTCATCAGACCAGCTGATGGATTGGGAAACTTGATCTATTAAAGGTTTATGGGATCCAAATAAAGAGGTTAATTTTTAATTTATTTTGAAACTGCAGTGCCATAAAGCTAATCAAAAGGGGCAGAACCACAGGCAGAATGAAACAAGCCCAGAGGAGATATTTAGGCAAAATAAGACAACTAGCCGCTGAGTGCCAAGTCCAGCCAACAGCTCAGAAATCAGTGGGTATTTCCAACTCAAAAGATAACTCTGACCGGGAGCAATCACTAGCTGGTTGGTGCCAGCGCAGATGAAAAAGTGCTCTCTCTCTAGCCATGCTTTGCAATGGGGCCCAGAGAAACAACCTCAACTTGTTCTCTATCACCCCAAATCCCCAAAGCTGCCAGCCATTCCAACCACTTTTGTGCCCAGAGCCATGGCCAAACCTCTGCCACACAGTCCTTCAGGGCAAAGGCTGCTCCTGATGACTGATTGTTGAAGGAATGTACTAAAGATAATAGGCACCAGGATATCTATAATGAGGAGCAGAAGGCCAAGAGATCTCTAAAACAATGAACATATATCCTTGAGTGTCAAAACTCCCCTTTACTCCTCTTTTACTAGTCAGCAAGATCCACTAATTAGGTTCCCCTAAGTGAACCAGTTAATTATAATACAAAAACCACACCTCTGTTGGAAGAGCTACCCACCTCCAAAGGGAGACCCCTACCCACTGAGCATGCATAGTGATTATAAAGGGAGCTATGTCTTTAAATTGATGTGAAAGTATAAACAACCAGTGACTAACAAGTAGGTGTTAACAGTAGGCATAGTGACTTTGTTTAATTGTATAAATATGTGAGACAAGGATAGTGGTGTGTGCTAGCTTTGTGGAATTACCACCTAACATCCATCTCTGTGCAGAAATGGAATAAAGCAAGTATCTCAACTCAGTGTGGAATTGGTTCTTGCAGACCAGGTGAAGAACCCATCTTTGGGACAACACTCCTACACGTGGCCCTTTGCTCTGCAAATTCTGTCCGGGCTCCACGAGGCCAACTGTAAGCACCAGCTGAAATGCTTGTACATTGAAAATGAAAGAAACCCTTGCAAAGAGCTTGGAGGGTGAGATGCACTGAAAGCAAACAAAAATCCCTCTCATTACAAGCTATCTGGGAAGCAATATTGCAGTTGTAAGAAAGCCATTTCTGTGCAGGGTGAAGCGGTAGCAGGGAGTTGTAGGAAAGTCGCTGACTTCTCAGGAACTTGGAGAACAAGTTTAAAAATCAAAAGAAGAAGTTTCAGAACACAAAATGACCCCCCAAAAGCAGAACTGTAGAAAACCCAGGAGACTTTACTGAACAGAAGTCCTCTAAATCTCTACCGCCCTTCCCAGGGGAACAGGACCCCTCATCCTCCCTCCTCCCCCAGCCCCAACCACCATTTTCACATTTCCTTCTTGCAAATGCAGCATGTTTGTTTTTATACCTCCCCATGAAGATTTTTCATATCTCTTCAGAAATACACAGTTGGGTGGGGGAAAATGCTGTTCTCTAACCCTTTCCTGCTTTACAAACCTGGTCAACACATTGCCACAAAGGCAGCCTGCCCTACAGAGCATCCCAGCTCGTGTTTTAGGACCAAGAAAGAACAAACTTCACGTAACTGTTCTGCTCTTTTCAAGCCAACTTTCCAGCAGGCCATGTCTGGGGAGGGGAAGTCACACCTGCAGATACTTTTTCTGCAAAGACCTCTCTCTCCTTAGTTTAAAGCACTGCCAGGGGATGTTGTCCTTAGCACATTAAAGAGCTGATCTGGAGACCCAGCAGACACAAGCTCACTGGAGAGCACTGGCACTTACATCCTCTTCCAGATGTGCAGCAACTGCGTGGCCATGCTGTGATGTGAGCCAGTTAACGCTGTAACAGCCCGGCTAGACAGTCAGGAAAAACACTGAAAACCTTGCAACAACAGTAATTATGAGGAGACATCTGCTCCACAGCAAAGCTGATGGCAAGCTGACATTTCATTATGGTAATATAGGGAGAGCGGGGAAAAAAAAAAGTGAGGGGGGAGTGAATTTTCCCTTCAGGAGCTGATGAGCTGCCTTTCATGCAGGTGTCTGGTATCATGCCTGATACCACAGGGCTAAGATTCCCAATGCGTCTAAAAAAATTACAGGCCACAAATATATATGGGCCATACAAGCACATCCCTGGAGCTAAGTCTGTGAAAACTGAGTTACACTAGGCAAGCAGGTACTCTAGGCTTTTTATTATTTCTTCCATACAGGAAAGTAAAAAAACCAAAACAAAACCACAAACCAATTCCCATATCAAATAACTATTTATCTTGTAAAACACATTTCCTGCCTTTGCGCAATCCAATAAAAGTAGAGGAAAAACACATGCCATTTGCCAGATGCTCTGTGTTTGTTCAGTGCCCATCTCAGCCTGGTACCCAGCAGGTCTGGGCACTGATGGCTGTTAGGCACAGGAGGAATATAAACTTTGAACAAAGAAATAAGAAACACATCCTTTACAAAAATCAAAGCCATCGAACACCGGGGTCAATGAACATTTGCGCCTCCCAGACCAGAACCACCGTGTGCTTGATGTGAGCACTGGGGACAGTGACAGTCTCCGACCTCGACTGCTCAGAGGAGGAAATTAGCACAAGTGCCTGCAGGGCAGAGGAGCACAGGCTGCACTTTCAGAAGTGCGCCTGACACATCCCAGGGCTTTGCAATGCAGTGTCAGCCAGGCACTTCTGCAAACTTGGCACACGGTACAAATAACAACAAACTGGGATGGGAAGGAGATTGGCACAGAGAAGTGGCTGGCCAGGTCATGAGTGGCAGTGATGGGAGCAGTGTCCAACCCACACGCCATGCTGCTTGGGTGAAAGTCTTGTGCCAGCTGGCTCAAAAGACTTATGCTATCTGCAGATCCTCTCCCCTGTCTAGCTGCCTTGTTGCAGAGGCAATAGCCATGAAGGGAGAAGGGCAGGGGACAGGAATTGTGCACCGAGAACCAGCTGGTGTAAGTGAACAAGGCTCCATCACAGCTACAAAAATTGTAAGAGCAAGAGCTCATGTCTGCCAAGAAGTGATTTGGTGTGGAGCTGCTAACCTGATGAAGGCAACCTGAAATCCCTTTTCTGCTCTGAAGAAGCACAATTCTTAAAGTCCCAGTCTGCCAGCCACTGTGGGCATCCTCCCCTGTACAGCTATCCAAAATGGGCTTCAGGCTTCAAAATGCACGGTCTTATCCTCTTCTGTGCTGTGCCTTGCCACTGGTACAGTTCAGTACAACACCAGGCTGCAGAACAAAGAATAAAAGATTCCCCAAAGTCCACTTGTAGGCAATAGAAAAAACCTGGCTTGAGAGCTGCAGAAAGGAAGCAGGACTGCTCATCTGCACGACATTAACACCACTAAGCGCAGAAAAACTTCCCAAGCCACCAATTTCTGCTGCAAGTCCAGATCTCTTGCAGATAACACAATTGCAGGGAGAAGGGCAGGGAACAATTAATTCAGCAGGGCTGGCCAAAGGCTGACTGGCCAAGCGGCAGGACGTGCCTGCAGTGACACAAGTACCACTGCCACACACTGCGAAAGGAGCCCAGGGACAGCTGTCTTGCAGGAAAGGTACTTGTTAAACCAGCGTGATCTGCATTTCCAGCACAACACGCAGAGGAAAAGATGGTGTTATCCCCACAGAACTCCAGAGGGAGAGCTAAGCATCTCAGAAATAAAAGCCTACTACTAATGATACCCTCCAGACTGCTAATGACTGTACAGAAGGGACAACCACACAACCCATGGAGCCACCCAAGGGGAGCAGGTGACAGCCACAGTCAGTCAAACACAATCACCAGCACAAATTAACCCTCTAATTTCACCACCTGAAGCATCTGGAAGCAAGTTCCTTCCCTCTGCAGACATAAGAGCAGCTTAGGAAAGGCAGCTTTGTTAGAATTGCTATTGCATGTCACTGGAAGCCAGGACCAGTGGTCCCAGAAACAAAACACTCGTCCGGTATTTGGGACTAAGGACACATTGTGACACAGCCACTAGCAAACAGGAGCAGGGCTGTGTCAGGCACAGTAAAGAAGGAAAAGCACTTTCAACATAAACCAACCCCCAAATGTGCATTAAAGGAACATAAACAAAATATCTGTATCACCACACCTAAACTTGCTCTATGAGGGTTTGGGGATTTTCTTTTAAACCAACCCATGACCGCCCCTTAGTTCTCTCCATGGAGAAATGGGGACCCCTAAGCTGCCTCCATGCCTTCCAGAGGGAATTTTCAGCTACTCTGTGCTGCTCAAAGAGACTGGCCATAACAAGGCATTGGGTTTGTTTGGGTTTTTTTTTCCTTACGACATTACAGAAACAGTCACAAAACAGGCAATGTCAGCCCTGGCAAGACTGCCCTGAGATCCATGCCGTCCAGCCATGGGGATGTGGGTGCTGGATGCACGCAGCCTTGGGAAGGACCATCCCATAGGTGCTTCCCTCCCAGGCCCCATGTGCCACACACAAGGTGGACATCAACAGCCGAAAAACACTCATTCCCATGCAAATGTACCTGTCTGCATGCCTCCCAAGGTTAAAATCGATGCTGAGCCAGCCAAAGCAGAGCACT